TCCATCTCAAGGGGGTAGCTGGCCAAAGAATATGTCTACAATCACATGTTTGATATGTGCATCATTTTTAAAGCACAAATTTGGAGTATTAATTTCTTTAACAACAGCAACCCAGTTGATGTACTGCAATATGTAAAACTTTTGACTTACAATAGGACAATCAGTCATTGAACACATATGAAAAAGGATATTTTTTTGTTATTTTTTAGAAAGGAAACACACACATAGAGCTTGACTTCTCTAATTACCTTAAAAACAAAGTGCTCACCCATATTTACTACACACACTATATGCTTTCACTACTTGTGTATGAATTCACAAATCATTCCGTCTGAACTAATTTTATTTAAAAGAAATCAAAGTCAGCCCTTATTGTTTCAAAAGCAGCCCCAAAAGTATGACTACTCACATTGAAATAAGCTTCACAATGATATTATATTTCAATATCAGCATCTAAAATTTCTCTTCTTTCTTGAAAATCAACTACAAATTTAGTTTCTTTTCCAAACGAGGGTGATTCACATGTATTCCAAAAACTAACTTCAAATTCATATTCTGTTTCAAAACCAACTTCAAATATATACTCTGTTTCAATTTCATATTCATGAAATTCTTACGGGTGCTTAAGAGAAACCCTAGGATTCAATTCCTCTGTTTAAATTTCAATTTCATATTCACTAATTTGCAGTGCGTTCCACTTTTCAAAGCAAGATTAACATGCAGTATCAATTTGTATGTCAAAAATTACTCTTTAAAAAATCTAATTCAAAAAATACAGATTTGGTTATCTGAATTTGAAGTGCATAAAAACGCAGCAAATAAAAATTATACTCTCTAGGTAAACAATAAAGGGAGTGAGCACATGAATAAGGATAACAAAATTAGGTTTTTGAAGAAGGAAAAGCTAGGAAAAGAAGGAGAATTAGAGGAAGGGTTGATGAGACCCATTATCAAGATTAGAGAGAAGATTTACCTGGATGGAGTGAAGGAGAACAAGCCTTGGAGAAGCAGGAGGGTACGGGTTATTTATTAATAGATGGGTGGCCGGTGGAAGAGATTGTGGGGCGGTGGCGGTGGTGGGAAGTACGAGAGCGAACGGCGGTGGCGGTGAAGGAAGTATGAGAAGAGTGTGGGGAAGGAGAGAAAAGCAAGGAAGAAAGGCGGTGACGTGTGGGGAAGGAGAGAAAAGCAAGGAAGTGGTGACGTGGGTAAGGGACGGAAAAAGAGACGGGAAAAGAACTAAATTAACGGAGGTAAACGTAGTTGGCTCTTATAATATAAGGGGGGATTTCATATGTACTAAAACTTTTTTGGTTTACGAGGTTTAGCTGGATTTATTTTTAATTTAACGTATTTGATTATTTGCGTGAATTTTAAAAATAAAATTTATATATGCTAGACAAAGTGCACAACTCTAGATAGAGGTGAATAGATTGGAGGTTTAGAATGAGCATTTTTTGTGTATGTGATAAACGAAAAATAAAACGAAGATAAAGTAAAGAGTAGCTAGGAGGAAGAACAACATTACGATGTATTCTGGTTCACCACCTCGTAGCTAATCCATTTCTTCGAAGACTCTCTCAAAGGTCCTACTAACTTTAAAACTTCAACAAGTGCTTGAAAAACCCTTTACAAAAGTCTCAACACTTTACAATAATACGTGAGTCACAAAAGTCTTAGCAACTACGAACTTAAAGGTGAACTTTCAAGTTTGCAAGATTACAATAGCAACACAAGATGAAAAGCTCACACAATGAACAAGTATGTATTTAAATAAAAAAACTCTAATGGATGACAAAGTACTTATTACATTCAAAAAAAAAAAATTCTATACTCTCAAAGTATTGATTCTTGAAGACGTTTGATAGAGCAAGAGATATAGCAAGGATGAAACAATAGTGCCTGGGGTTTCTTAAATGAATGAAGAAGAGTGTTTATATAGGACACAAGAAAATATCATGTCCATTACACCAAAGAAAAGAGCTTAGGTGTAGAAAATGGGATTAAAAAATCCATTTCTTTGGTAATCATATTGATTTTTGAGCTCTGGAAAATAATGAGACAGAGGTGAATTGAA